TTCACCCATCCAAATGTCAAATTATCACTATTACGCGGAAACGTAATCCCATTTTATATACTGTAATTACAATATGAACGGTACACCCCTCTTTAGAACTTATAGTATCAAAGATCTTGGTGTTGAGATCAATGGTGTTTTAAAAAGGGACAATCATGTATCAAATATTGTTTCCAAATGTAACCGCAAACTGGGAATGATCAAGCGTGCAGTGGGATATGCAGCTCCTATCAATGTCACTAAAACACTTTACACTGCCTTAATTCGGCCTGATTAAGAATATGCTAGCCCTCCATGGAGTGGCACCTCCAAATACAACTTGCAACGTTTGGAGGGCGTTCAACGAAAAGCAACGAAATTTATATTGCATTACCCAGATTGCGATTACAATGAAAGACTTACGTTACTTAATCTTATGCCCTTGTCATACAGAAGAGAATATTTAAATCTTACTTTTTTTTACAAATGCCTAAATTTTAATATTTACCTCGATGTCAGGAACTTCATTCGATTCAATGAAATGACTGATCAGGTCACAATTTCAACTGACGATTTAATTATTGAAAAATGCAACACTGAGTCTCACAAACTATATTATTTTAACCGCATTGTACCCATGGAATACCCTTCCTCTTACATTTAGAAACAGCCCAACTACGAACACTTTTAAGCAAAATGTTAAATTATTTTATCACGATCTCTTTTTAAATAAGTTTAATGTAAATAATGTGCAATTCCTCAAAGCTTCTCTTTGAGATTGTTTTATTAGTTGTTTTATGCCTTCAGTTCCTTTTACAAATTTTAGTGTTACATTTTAAAACTTATATTGATTTTATATCTTGTTCTGTGCAATTCGGGATCGGCCGATATCGGAGGTGTAATTTGTCCACCTATTGGCCTTTTTCCGTCACCGGCAATCTTTTATTTCATTGATATTTTATTGTATTTTTGCCTGTGTAAAGTCGAATAAATAAATAAATAAAATAAAATAAAATAAACAGTAGCAGGATGGAGTCCCCCATAGATGGCAAACAAGGGAAGACAACGTCAAAGATGAAGAGATGAGATTGATTTGGCGTCAACTTGCTGAGAATGTTGTGTCCAGCAGTGGACCTGCAATAGCTGATAATGAAACATCTTATTCTTAAGGTTATCAACGTAGACCTAATTAATTAACTTACCACTACACCCAGGTCAGTCAACAACAGTGAATAAAAATAAAATAATGTCAAAAATTACAAAAAAAAAAAAAAATATTAAATTAATCAAAATGAATGCCGAAATACTACAATGAAAATTCAAATGAAAGAATTGAGGCAATCAGTACGGTACCGTAATTTAAATGCCATATTATATCGGAAATGAAACCAAATTACACTAAACAAAAATACACTTTTGATTAATTTATTCACAATTGCAAATACGGTAATTTAAATTTCATGGTATTATCGGAAATGAAATTAAAACAACAACAAAATTTATGTTACACTTACAAAAAAAAAATTGGAATTGCCTGTATAAACAAATTGAAAAGGTAAAGATGTTGCAGTGCTTTTTTATAGGAAATATTTCTTGTTTAATATTTATTAGAATGTACTTTGAGTATAAAATATTACGCTTAATAATCAAAAATAAGCAGTGGACCTTTGGGATATTCAATCACACTGCCACAGACCAATCAGGACTTCTTGAGTCTAGGAATGCGCTTGTTTACGATATGTATTCAATGTTCAATTAACTTTGAAATGTGAAGAAAAATAACTAATTGTCTAGTGGCAGTCTTGTACGTAGATGTAAGTATATTTTACTGTGACAACTGAACAATAAGTCAACTTATTTAACTGTATTCATTAAGTATGTCAAACAAATATTTAAACTAATCAGACGAAAATTGGGGAAAATCGAACTAAAAACGTAGTTTAATAACCGTCTGTGCAGATATTTAGAATGTAATTTGCATCAATAAATATTAGACTTCGTTATATTGTTAATTTTAAATATTCTTCCCAATTATAAATAAGTATGCCAAAATAATTAGTGAACCTTTTGGAATGTCAATCAAACTACTGCAAACCATGTTAACAATTCAATGATCGTATTTAAATCTGAAACACATCGTCGGTTATAACCTTGTACGTAGGTGTACAATAATAATAGTTCAGCAAGTGACAATTGAACATGCATAGTACAGTATGCCAAAAACTACTCAGAGGACGATGGGGAAAAAACTGAAGAAAACAGTGGGGTCTACCTTTTAGATATTTAAACATTAAATGATGGAGGTTAAGAATGTTTAAAGGAAGAATGCTTTATATACTTTATAGCCCGTTTGATTTCTTATCCGCCAAAGTGGATATCTAACAAAAGTATGTACTGTACAATAATATAAAAAAAATATCCAGCACATACAGTCATGCAAAATGACATAGGCCTATTGATAACTGGAAATGCTCCTTTTACACTGCGCAGCTAAAGCATAGCCTCCCCACGGTGTGATTTACTACAACGGTGACACCGATATCAACATGAACAGATATTACATTTTCACAAGTTTTATAATGGTATCGCAAATTTCCTGAAGAACGTACCGTACTCGGGCGATTAAGCGCCCCGTTTAAATAAGCGCCCCTCAACAATCCAATGAATCTTGGGACTGTGGATGTTGCCATGATTTGAGGTGTGGAGAGAAATCACATTCTCCTTTAGTCAATATCAAAATGAGGATATTTATCTTGGACAGATAAGTGCTCCCTGGAGAGACAGTGTATTTCCAACTTCCATCTTCTTACATTTGTCTATATAGCCTAGTCCTAACTCTTTTCCGACAATTTGCACCTTTAACACATTCTCATCTGAGTTTCAAGAAAACCTGCAATGATCATGCCGCCCTGCTAATCTCAATCGGCCGATGGCCAACAAGCTAATCATCACCACTAATTTCCACACATTCTTGTCATGCCAAACCATGCTCTCTGGACAACAATTATCTTTTCCGCCGCACCACTATTCGTAATTTGCGGTTCTGATGTCCATATATAGGCTAATCGTTTTTTATTCAAAATGTGCTTCTTGAATTTAATAAGTTCTCATAAGAACCCATCGATTTTCATCTATTTCCAGTTTTCATAGGCGCCCCGTTCGAATAAGCGCCTGCTTGAATAAAAGTGCAAACAAATATTTTAAGCGCCCGGCCGCTTATTCGTGCGAGTATACGGTAATGAAATTTGAAATTAGCATATTCACACCCGTACCAAAATATCAGGCGCCGCGTGTTCTCATTACCACCTTGCATTCTGCCAGGTTTGAAACCAATCGGACTTACAGTACCAAACTTTAGTTACCGTGGTAACTAGCTTAAATTACCTGATTAGTGAAATATTAATTATGCAGAAGAGCAATAAGCATAATCACAGACACCAAAAACAATAAGCTCCGTTTTCTTATCACCATCTCGCATTCTGTCAAGTTCGAAACCAATCGGACTTACCAAACTTTAGTTATCGTAGAAGTGGTTGGCGCATCGGTTGTGGCTTGGACTCCCAACCTTGAGGTCGGGGGTTCGAAACTCTCGCTGTGCAAGTCGCTTGTGTCCTTGGGCAAGGCACTTTATCTACGGTTTCCTCTCTCCACCCAGGAGTACAAGTGGGTACCTGGTAGGTTCAAACACTGCGCTGATTACTAGCCGCAATATTATGGAGATATAATTTAATTTAATAATTTCGTTTAGTGTTCACTGTGATCCATATGTGTTTGATCCAATGACCGGGGGTAATAATGTAAAGCGCTTAGAGGCTTTGTTAAGGCATTAAGCGCTATATAAGAACGACATATCATTATCATTATCGTGGTAACAATCAAAATGATCAACAACGACGATGATTAAAAAGCTGACAGAAAAACACAAGTAAAAACAATAGCCTCTACGGAGCTTCGCTATGAATATACAATTAAATATTATGCAACATAAACAACAGGTTGAGTTATTCAATAAGAAAGGCACGCTATTGCAACCCTTCACCTCTTTTTCGGAGAGCCGAAGGTGACAATTGGGAAAACAAGTATCATTTTGCGAAATGGAAATAGACGATTTATAATACGGCAATGATAAGCATACCCTGATACAATAGGGTTTATTTATTTTTCTAGCCTACAAAAATACAGTAATACAGCATAAAATCAATAAAAGAATAACTTATAATGCAATACAGTGATATGAAAACTATAACATAAGCCACAGACATTCGAATAGCCGTGTTTCACCTCATAACCTATAGATCATGGTAGGTTGAATAGTTGAATGAGACAAAATAACAATCGTTGAAGGAAAACACAAAAGTACGGTATTATTTCTTTAACTTAAAAAAACGAAATTTTACAAATGATGATGATGTGAAACTAATGTAAATCATAAGAAAAATCATACTCCGAACTTCAAGCTAGGTTTGGCTCCTGGTACGACTGGGCCGCGTCTTGGTTCCAGGGATCATAAGTAGGCCACGAAGTAAAAAGTTTGCAGAACGCTGACCTAAAATATACTGAACCACGCATTTTACAATCTCGTAAAACCTCAAACATTCCTTAATGGGTTTTACACTGACATAAACGTACAATAATACAAGACAGAAGAGAAAATTCATCAATCAATAAAAGTAAACTTAGATTACAAGAACGCTTTATCATTTTGCGGAATGGAAAGAGACGATCAATAATATGGCAATGATGAGCTTACCCTGATACAATAGGGTGTTTTTTTCTAGCCCACAAAAATACATTAATACAGCATAAAATCAATAAAAGATTTAACTGTTAACATAAGCGACAAACATTCGAATAGCAATGTTTCACGTACCTCATAATCTAAAATATACCGAACCATGCATTTTACACTCTCGTAAAACATCAAACATTATTATTAGTGGGTTTTACACTGACATAAACATACAATATTACAATACAAGACAAGAAAAATTCAACAATCAATAAAAGTAAAAGAATATAGGAACGCTTTACAAGAACGCTTTATTCAGATTGCCCTTTAGCCAGAAAACCAAACCACACTGTGAAAGAGTACAGGCATATTACTGAATTGGCGCACAAAACACCCGGCGCACAAAACACCCGGCGCACAAAACACCCGGCGCACAAAACACCCAGCCCCTAATCAACCCCATTGCAAATGTTCAAAGAAAAAAAAAAAACAAGTGTAGCACCGTTTCGGCAGTGAACAAGTTCGGCCGCGATGTATGGAACACATTTCGTAGGTTTTCAGTCAGTTTATGTGAATTACTGAGTATAACCTAATACTGATAAATGTGTCCTGTAATAAAGAGAATGTTGAGAAAGCAAAACCATGCTTTTATTTATGTCAATCTGACAAGGGAAGCCTAGGCAGACATAACATACAAGAAACGAGCTTAAATTCAAAGTTTAACAAACTTAAAATTCTCACTGGTAACTGATATTATAAGCCTATTTATTGTAAAGAGTAAGAATAGTAAATATTTTAATAGTAATTAATAAAAACATAACACTAAGGTCAGGTTCACACAAGAGCTCCGGATCGGGAGCTAACCATTAGCGCTGACCCTTAGCAAATGTGTGAGAAGCCCAATCAGTTAGTGTCAACCGTTGCTAGGATCCGTATACGCTAACGGTCAGCGAGTGCTTTCGGTTGCAAGTTTCTATCACTAACCAATCATTTGCAATTTCCCATTCCCTATTGATCACTGATCCGATCATCATCTTCTTGTCATCTAGATCGGAGATTTCTTGTATGAACAAACGGGTGAGCGCATCATGTTTGTAATCCGCATCCTGCTAACCGTAGCTGCCGTGTGTGAACAAAGACTCAATTTCAATTTTTATAGATATTAAATACTGTACATTGCAACCAAACTGGTCCGCAGTCTAAACAGATAGCATTCATTAAATATCACCTCATATCACCCATATTTTGCAAGGTAGCGCCCCCCCCCCATTTAATCATCGCTCCCCACTTCATTATTAGTACGTCCCATCACTCCCCACCCCATTTCAAGATTTTTAGTGTCACTGTATTACACTTTGGCTTTGTCACAGCGTGTAAGGCTTGAGCTTTCAATCCAATGAGTTCGACAGCCATCACTATCACACTGCCTGTGTCTTGGGCAGGACAATTTTCAGGTATCTACATTTGCCTCTCTTCACACAGGGGTATAATGGGTAGCTAGGAGGAGGTGGATGATTTGGAATGAAATTGATGGTACTGAACCAAACATAACTATGAATATAGTACTCCCCAGGAAGTGAAGGAAGTTGCAAGTTGTGTACGATTGGTTGTACCAGCAGAAAAAGTGAATTTGAGCAGAGATTGTAAAATCGATACACCCAGTAGCAGGGCTAGAACACCATTGCAACGTCAAGACCTCACGGAATGTGGAGATTGACTTGCTGAGTGTGCCAGCTGACGTTTTTTTTTAGAATCCGAATTTATATGGTCCCTTTCATATTCCAGAGATAATACAAGGGTGCTGGCATCAGTATTTGTCACTGGAGACCTTGACAAACCAGCACATAAGTTCAATGCCATACTATCCTACTAGGTACCCATTAAACTCAAAAGTGGAGAGAGGCAAACATAAATAAAGTGCCATGTCCAAGGACACAATGCAATGCAACAAGCGTCGGTCTGGAACTCCCAATCATTAGTCTTTAGTATACACTGCACCACACGCTCCTTCTTTTGAATTCAGCCATTCTTTTGTATTTTCTTCATACAATATTTGTGTTTACTTCTTGCACTTAATATGTACTGCAGCTTTTTCTAGATTTCATCCAAAGTTTTTAATCTATTATTCATGAATTGAAAAAAAAACCAGAATTACAGAATTTCAAAACAAGTTTTTTCAAACATCGCTTCAATGTTGATTGACATTTTACTAATATATTTAGAATATTAAAACAAGAAGTTTAACAATATAATGCGCCATTTGCTTCACCTTATATTTATGGGCATTGCTGCACTTTCTCATTTAAACAATTTCAGGCGTAACTGTTAATTGCATGACCTTTTGACCTCGAACGATTTCTCTTGCTTATCAATGTGTGTAATAATATCACCAGGTTTTAAGCCACTTCTGCAAGTTAAATGAGAATTTTCTTGTCAAACTCTAAGGCACCGAAGGTTGAATACAGTGGTAGCGCTAGTGGGGGGCAGGGGGAATTTTCATAACGTCGGACAGGCCTGGACCACCCAACCCCTGTCGTTCTTTGAACAACTATGTCATTAGATCAAAAATTTTTAAAAATACTAATTTTCCTATCCAAATAACCGTATTTTGATTGCCAATCCCTTTAAAAGCACATTTTTTAGTAAAATAAGCCATAAAAACTCTTCCTGTGAACCCTACCAGAGATTTTTAATTCCGGGCCGTCAACCAAGACTTCATCGACCCCTTGGTTTGGACCCCTCCGTCAGACCCCTCGTTGGCAAATTTCTGGCACCACCACTGGTTGAGTAGCCGAGCGGTAAGACAACGCCGCTAATTACAGCTTTAACATCAAGTCTGGTTTGAGCCACTCCTTGTCCTGAGTTTGGTTGGTAGAACCAAGTCTTCTTGGATAAGGACTTGAAATGGATGTCCAGTGTACCTATCTCTCTGGCTTATGTGCACTTTAAAGAACCCATTACATATTTCGGAAGAGTACAGTAGGAGGTCAAACTGAGGATCACTTCATCCCCTGTCGTTGTGGAATGATGTGAACATGAAGCTACTATGCACGGCTGCTACAGCAGTCATGAACCATGTCCATCGTATGCAATTCAAAACCACAAAGCTGCGAGTTACAGGTTCTCCTCCTACATTTACATCCACATGAATCAAATCCATACCGATTATTGTAAAATGGTAACAACAAAAGAAGTATATATATATATTTATAACTACTAACTACCTCCGCCAAAGAGGTTATGTATTCACTGCTGTCTGTCAGTCAGGCTGTTCACCTGCCTGTCTGTCTGTTAGAAAGATTACACAAAAACTATTAAATGGATCATCATAAATTTATTGGAATGGTAATTAATAAGAAGGTCGGCAAGAAAAGGCTAAAGGTCAAACAAATTTAAATATTTACCCACAAGCATAAAAGAATATCGCCCCAAATATTCAGATAGCACGCAAGAAAATAATGGGCAACTGGCGATTCCATTATTTTCTTAAGGGTATGCTGCAGTTCGCCTATCATACACGGCCTGCTTATTGTTGGGTAGAGGTATGTACTATATGGAGTGAGTGCTCTAGTTTTAATGTTGTTTACTGTGGGCAGGTGATCATTGGGTGATGCCATAAACAAGAACTCCATACTGAATATCTGGAAAATCTGGTGATCGTTGCTTTAGTTCAATTATAATCTGCTAGATTATTCTAAGTCTTAGATGGACAGGGTGATAAAGTTCTTGTGTATTGTTTAAAAATTTATCCAAAAATGTTTTCAAGCAAATCAGGCACAATTACAATGTATGCAAAATTCATAACCAACAGATGTTTGGAAATTCAAGATTGTTTACAAACTTTCAACAAATCTGATGATGTCAGCGTCACAGATACATGAACACATCCGGGCCATTGCAAAAGTTCCTATTACATTACAACAAAAACAACAGTTCATTTGAGAAATATATACGCAAGAACAGATCCATTTATTGATCAAAATGTTATTCTTTTAACCTATTTGACCTGATAAATAAAAAATACAATAGTTTTTCCTGTTGACTGCACTATAATTATTAGTTATTGTACTGTATATTTATTCTTGGTTAAAGCAATTTATGTCCTAGTCATGTTGAATACTTGCTACCAATAATAAAATACTATCCATTTCCTTGTTGTTATAACCGGTTCGAGCCACTCTTCGTCCAGGGTTCAATTGGTAGAACCAATTCTTCTCGGATAAGGACTTAAAATGGAGGTCCAGTGTATACATCTGCCTTTACATCACTTTAAAGACCTCATTGCATCTTATGGAAGAGTAAGCGGTTACCCCAATGTGAACATGTAGCTAGTATAAATGCCTCTTCACAGACACTAGGTAGTCACAGACTACGCCATATGCAATTCAGCAAAATTACGCTGCAAGTTATGGGTTTTTTTCCTACCTTTACCTACCCTTACCTATTTCTGATTTCATAATCTTTTATACCATAGTATTCTGACGTTTTTCCAATGGAAATAAATTTAAATCTTTTTAAATGTATTTCACTCAATTTTATTGATCAATGATGCAATAGCCCACTTGATAATAGCTGGCAATGTTTAAGTGCTGTCGGTTGGTGGAGCTTGTGTGGAGTGTTGTTACGTGTATTGAGCATAAAAAAAACGTTTAAAGTTATAGTAGTTGTATGCATCATCATAGACCTTTTTCGTTATGTTCAGTTAACAGTTAAGAAAGGTGTCATATCGTTTACAGTGATATTAAAGGAAATATGGTTGTTGTAGGGGTTATTGTGTATGTAACTTTGTGAAATATTTTGTACTGTAATTATGAAGATATATATATATGTAGCGGTTTATGATTTAAGTAGGCAGTTTGGTGGGTGAATAGAATTTGTTGCATAGAAGTATTATATACTGTATAGCCCTATTGATTTCTTATCCGCCAAAGTGGATATCTAACAAAAGAATGTACAATAACATATAAAAAAAAATCCAGCACATACAGTCATGCAAAATGACATAGGCCTATTGATAACAAGAAATGCTCCCTTCACGCTATTTTGTATTTACTTTTTGAACTGAATATGGGGAGACCGGGGTTAGTTGTTACAAAATTTACATATTGTTCCTTAATTACGTAATTGAATGAGACAAACACACCATTTTTATTATAATGCAAGAACAGTATATTGGTTATAAAACGAAGCAATTACAACTGTCATATATCAATCCGTTAATTAATCATTAATTAATTAATTAATGAAGTAGATCAACGGTAAAAAATTACCCCTGGTCCGGGGTATATTGTTACACCATGTGGGGCAAGTTGTTACATTGTACAAACTAGTTTTAAAAAGGTTTAAAATATGCAAACAAACATGCTTTAAAGTGTATAAAAGAGACAACAACATTATTATTCTAGCCTTATGGTTAACTGTAAGACCGCACTATAATGCATTTTAGCTCCTCAACAAAACAGTCAAACAGAAATGTCCATTTCTTCTTCTTTACAATGATCGCACGTGTAAAGTGCGCCTCCTTCGGTACACTCGCTATGTGACCGTCCTTGTTACAGTAACAACTTACCCGTAACAACTTACCCCACGTGCTATTTTTATATTGAAACACAGATAGTTCTCTGCCTGTAGGCAGAAATGTGTGGTAATATCCTATGAAAGTGTTAGGTAATGGCCATGCTTCAAATAAATATATAAACTTTCTTTATCCATCTACATGAGGATAAGCTATTACAGAAACTGTTTGTCATGAAAAATTTACTTTTGGGGATTTTCTTCCCGTTGGACAGGCCTGGACCCACCCCTGTTGTCGACGAACAACTAGGACACTGGATCAAACATTTAAAAAAAAAATACTAATTTTCCTATCCAAATAACCGTATTTCGATTGCCAATCCCTCTAAAAGCACATTTTGGAGCATAATAAGCCATAAAAACTCTCCCCGTCAACCCTACCAGAGATTTTTTAATTCCAGGCCGTCAACCAAGGCTTCATCGACCCCTTGGTTTTGACGCCTCCGTCAGACCCCTCATTGGCAAATTTCTGGCACCACCACTGATTGAGTAGCCGAGCAGTAAGACAACGCCGCTAATTACAGCTTTAACATCAAGGCTGGTTTGAGCCACTCATTGTCCAGAGTTTAGTTGGTAGAACCAAGTCTTCTTGGATAAGGAATTGAAATTGATGTCCAGTGTACCTATCTGGCTTATGTGAATGAGCCATAAAAACTCTCCCCGTCAACCCTACCAGAGATTTTTTAATTCCAGGCCGTTAACCAAGGCTTCATCAGCCAATTGGTTTTGACCCCTCCGTCAGACCCCTCATTGGCAAATTTCTGGCACCACCACTGATTGAGTAGTGTACCTATCTGGCTCATGTGCACCTTACACAACCCATTACATATTTCGGAAGCGTACAGGAGGAGGTCAACCTGAGGTTCACTTCATCCCCCGTCATTGTGGAATAATGTGAACATACTATGTTAGCTACTATGGGCCTTTGTACGGCTGCTACAGTAGTCATGAACCATGTCCATCGTATGCAATTCAAAACCAAAGACCTGCGAGTTACAGGTTCTCCTCCTAATATTTACATCCACATAAACCAAATCCATATCGATTATTGTAAAATGGTAACATGAAGTAGTAATATATTTATAACTACTAACTACCTCTGCCAATGAGGTTATGTATTCACTGCTGTCTGTCAGTCAGACTGTTCCCTGCCTGTCTCTCTGTTAGCAAGATTACGCAAAAACTATTAAATGGATCATCATAAAATTTATTGGAATGGTACATAATAATCAAAGGAGGACGGCAAGAAAAGGCCAAAGGTCACACAAATCTAAATATTTACCCTCAAGCATAAAAGAATATCGCCCCTCATATTCAGGCAGCACTCAAGAAAATAATGGGCAACAGGCTATTCCATTATTTTCTTGAGGGTATGCTGCAGTTTCGCCTACCATACACGGCCTGCTTATTGTTTGGTGAAGGTAAGAATGTTGTTTACCTGTGGGCAGATGATCCTTGGGTGACGTCATAAACAAGAACTCCATACTGAATATCTGGAAAATCTGGTGATCGTTGCTTTAGTTCAATTATAATCTGCTGTGTTAATGACATCATAGTGATGGTCAAGTAATACTTCTGGGACCCTTAACAGCCTGGGGTCTGTTACTACTAAACCAGCCTGTAGACTGGGATACTGCTGCAATGAAACAATAATTTTAATTTATTATAAATATTTTTATTGATTATTGGGATGTAAAGTACATACAGTAATTTGATTTTATTTTTTATTTCTTTGCATTTATATTACTATTTATATGTTATTTATATCATTTTAAAACACTGATTTTATCTTTTTACTTATGAACTTAGTGGTAGGTTAGTTTAAGTGTGTGTTATTGTTTATTGCTTACTTTTTTCATTCTTTCTATTTATTTTAAAATTAATCTTTAAAAGTTCCTATTACTTTACGGCATAGCAACCAATAATGATTACTAGTGATACACCACAGAGAAAAGAGAGTTTGACAGTATCACAACAAAAACAGCAGTTCTTTTGAGAACTATATACGCAAGAGCAGATTTATTGATCAAAATGCGTTCTTCAACCTATTTGACCCGATAAAAAATACAATAGTTTTTCCTGTTGACTGCACTATAATTAGTAGTTATTGTACTGTATATTAATTCTTGGTTAAAGCAATTTATGTCCTACTAGGCAAGTTGAATATTTGCTACCAATAATAAAATACTATTCATTTCCTTGTTGGAATTGGATTTTCCTATTACATGCATGTGGCGTAGGGTCTTGAAATGGAAGGGAGCTGATGGGAGTGGGAAGGTGGGGGATCGGTGATTAGGTGAGGGGATCCGTGATTATATATAGTGAGGGGGGCTAACGCGCAAAATAAGGTAATTTCAGGTGATTTTTAACTACTTAAGCATGATTTGTGGGGCGCAACTGTGGATTGGGCGAGTATTTTCTTTTCGGAGGGGGCGTATGTCCCCCCAGCATACCCTACAATTTAATCTACGGTCCACCACTATTACTAACCAATATTACTAACCAAATAATGCTAATACAGTATTTTACTAACCAATTACTAATCAATATTACTAACCAATATCACTAATCAATTACTAACCAATATTACTAATGTGTGCTTGCATCAGGAAAATAAGATAGGAGTGGGAACGTACTGAGTATTTGGTAAGATAATACGTCAGGTAGGGCAAAACATCACTACTGTGATACTTTCCTGACACAAACTCACATCATAATAGCATTTGCAGTACCCGCTCCTACTTGGGGATTGGATTCAAAACAATGGTCACTAAGCGCAAGCTCGGTAGTCTAGTGATTATGGGGCCAGGTTAGTTATCTTGAGGTCGTGGTACGATTAACCCCTAATCACCCACAATTTTTTTTTTTTTGCTAGTAATTGGGAACGTATTCGGTACGATAATACTCCAGGTAGAGCAAAATATCACTCCTACAATATTACTAACCAATAATAATAATACTAACCAACATTCTGCTAACCAATTACTAACAAATATTACTAACCAATTACTAATCAATATAAAATTGTATTATCTATTCATATTCTTGATCAGTTGTTTTTAAATAGCTTTATACCAATGATTTAAATAGGACTACTCCACTAAAATTAGTGAGTTGTTGTCTTACTTTTGAATGCATTTCTTGAAAAAGAAATTTTTGGAGATAAATTTATACTTTGGTACATTTTACAAGAAAAGATGTTTCTATAAAAGTGTTACCTGCATTTATGTTATTAAGTATTGTAGCATACAAATATTACCTACCTTTTACTTAATTTTTTGCTTTCTTCAATAAAATCTAAAGCATAATCGATAGGTATGGCAAAAGAAATTCCAGCTTTAACTTTCATGGTGTTGATACCGATAGTTTCACCATCCAGATTTACCAGTGGACCTCCTTAGTTACCAAGCTAAAAAGAAAATAAATGTCAATATTTTTTCACATCTAAAATCAACTTCGCTCCCAAAGCCTAATATTAAACTTAGAGATGTATTGTCTCCCTAAAATGACAAAAAAAAAATTAATTAACTTGCTCATTTTGCAGTAACATTCAAATTGAGTATACTGTACTTTATTTCGCGATAAAACAATGATCGCAAAAATTGAGGGTGTGCGAAATTCTGGATGATGTGTTTTGTCTTCAAAAGCAAGGCTGCAGCCTGCCTAGCTGGTATAAAACTGATACAGCATTCCTTTAATAAAGATTTCATGATGAAAACGGTTTTTTTTTCTATCATGTATTATTTTTCAATCATTCAAATACATTTTAAAAGTTAAATACAGTATTATATAACATACCTGCCACCTGGGGGTGGGTTTGTCCCCTCTCTCAACAAGCTATAACATTTCAGTAAAGTTAATGGCTTAAATAATCGATTTTAGAGGTACAAAAATAATATTTACTAATAAATATACACTACTATTAATAATTTATTATTAATATTAACTTATAAATTATTAACTTTGCAGCCAACATGGAGAAATGATCATTAACGGCAAAAAGTGGCAAATTATGTTCTATTATAAAACCCTGAAACAATACTTTTGCGTTGATCACACTTTTATTTTGCGAGGGGCCTGAAAATATTAAATACACTAACTGTGTTCAACTTGATAATGATTATGTTAGTACAAAATAATCAAGTTAATTTTATATAAAAATATTTTTTTTCTTTTGGTATATTTCATGTTACAATATATCTTTAAAAAAAAAACCCAGATCCCAAATGATCTGCGTCACTGGCAGGAGACTCACCGTGATTGCCGCATCAGTTTGAACATAATCTATGTATTTGTTTAATCCAAGTTCCTTGTTTGTACGGCTAACAGCGCTCACAATCCCAACTGTTATTGTGTTGCTTAGTGACAAAGGACTTCCCATAGCAACCACCCATTCACCTAGCCTCAACTGAGATGATTTCCCTAGTTTCAATTAAGGAAGTGTTTTTATCCTAAAATGAAAAAAAAAAAATCATCCTAAAATCTTCTATAGTATAAATTATAAATTTGAAAAATGAATTGTTTTTTGGGTCATATGTGGGATGGAACTGACTACCCCTACAATGTTTGTTACTAAAAAGAGATTGACCTTTATATAAAAGGTCATAACTCTTTTTCCCATGGAAAAAATTTTTCAAACTTTTTTTTGGTGGCTCTTGAAACTCTTAGATAGTTTCTACTCAAAAAACCTTTGTAAATAATTTTTTTGCCACTTTGGCCAAAAAAACTGGGTTTTTCACCCTAACTAGTAGTTATGTAAACTCGGTGAGTAGGTATGTGTGACCTCGATGTGTTTATGTCCGCCCTGGCGTGCCATTAAAGCTATACGCGCGGACGCTGTTTGGTGGTGACAACATGGCGCCCATGCTCCAAGTTGGCCAAACTCTCTCGATCTACGACTCTGATAAGCAAATAACTACAGCGCCACCAGAAGGTCGGAACCTTCCATTTCACAGTTTACACAGTACACTGAAGCACCAGCAAGCAAGATTATGATCTTGAGGATATTTCCCTCACGATTAAAATCGTAACGGTCTGGTATGGTCTACAGGAGTTCGTGTTTCGTTCTTCCTTCTTCCATTATTCTTTGAATTTAAATAACATAGTAATCGTAATACTAATTCTTTTATATTTAAATAATATAGTAATAGGCATATCCGAGGTCTAGCCCAGGCCTAAACAAATTTGAGTGTATAAAAATTATGAAAAATATGAATAAACGCAAAATTATGAGAGAATAAAGGAAGAATAGGAAAGAGAATTGAAATATTTTTCGAAAATATACAATAGTATTCAATATGCTATCAGTTTTGAGCACTAATCGTCAGAGGTCTCTGTGCTATGCCTACTATATTATTTAAATATATACCACTTTAATAGAATCAGCGGTGCGTAACCAACAGAAATAAGATAGTTCTGGGCTGATTCTCTAACATTATGTTATTTAAAAAATTATAGCTCCATAACGGGGCGTCGTATCCAAAATTTTTTCCAGCAAAATGTTCATAAAAGACTAGTCTACACCACTATATGATTGAAAAAAATGAAAAATGTTTTTGACTTTTGAAATCAAGATGGAAACAGAAAAGCCTATCTAGGTAAGTGTATTAAAATAGGCCTATGCATTACAGTGCAGTAGCATAGCACTTTCGTGTAGTTACCGTTCCAGGTACCAATAATATACAGATTTCTCTTATTACAAAATACAAAATATGTTTTATAAAAAAGTATTGTATAGGAAATCATGTTTTTAACACAGGAAACTCTCATATGGTAACTAAAACAATGCTAGTCCAGAGTAGTACTAGTAATGCTGTTTGCATATACCATTTGCAGCGCCCTCTCTAAGTGAGGTTAATACATGTTGGTTCCTATTGGCATGAAAATACTGTAGTTAGTTCTCTTGTGCTGATTGTCATTCATTAATTTATTTTTTGTTTATTCATAAAACGTGCAATATAAAAAAGACCAAACCGTAGTAACACATAAAACCTAATAACATACTTATTAAAATTCAATTCAAATATATTCACAAAAATCTCCAAAAATGGAGAATTAAAACAATACACCTATAACACATTCCTTACAAAAGTTAAAACCACATTAATATAAGAAAAAACAATTGAATATATAGCTTTCAACTTATATTAATGAATATACAACCCACACAATGGATTGTCCTAGCTAGCTATACTTACTTATATGTGATCCTCCTCTTCTACATCGTAAAGCTGGATCAGAAAACCTGTTCAGCGCTAAACACGATACCGTACATAAAAGTGTATTTTCTGAACAAAAGGATTCAGGTACTGAAGTGTGACGCGTGCACCACACATTCGCGAAAAACGCCGCTTTGGTGTCAAAATAATGATACTGCACCATACACAAAGTCATACCTCATTGGTGTTGTACCCCAATCTCCCCCCCGCCCCCACCCCCGCCATTATTTATATGAAGAATTTTATCTATCAATCTTATGTCATTTTCCTTTGTGCTTTTTTCATCTGTACTACTATACTATTTTAAAAATTTCACTTTTTACATGGAACTTTGTGCTTTTATAATTTCGTACTGTTTTAAAATTCTCCGTTTTTGCTAAACATTTTGCAATTAATTTTCTACTATGTAAGACATAAAGTGCAATATGTTTATTAGGCCTACATTGGATCCCAATGGAATTAAGTATTTTACATTGAAATATCCATTTAACCTAATTAAGTCTGCACTCTTTGTTTTTGTTTTTTTTTTTGTTTTTGTTTTTGTTTTTGTTTTTTTTCTTGTTGCCTTGTATATTTGACTCTGGTTTATAAATAAACTTGTATATCCTGGTCCCCGACTGTTTTATGTTCACTTTGAATAGGCTTATCTTCATAAGATTTCTACAAATGGATACCTTGTTCTAGGCAAGTAATCAATTTGTCCTGGTACCCTGTACCGCTCGCCTCTTTTCTTGTGGAAAATGTTGAACCTATAAGAACTTTGATACAAAAAGAATTGCAATTGAGAAAGTATGTACTAGTTGTTACCACGGCGGTTTTTTCAGAATTTGTACGTAAATCATTAGCCTGGGTTCCAGGCCCTAATTTTAGGTTACTCACTCTTTATTGCACTTAGCGCGCGCCATACCTAATTTAATTGGCGTCCCATACTCGATTTCTTTTTTTTTCGAATTAGGGCCTGGGCAAACGATTCATGCGTGCAATTTCCCACATCAAATTTGATGTGGGATATCGTATGCATGACTGATATTGTAAAGCACGTGATTGGCTACCTTTATGCATATTAATCAATCTTGGTAAATTTTTAAAATTGAAGATGCGGATGTCTCGATTAGAACAAGCTCCAGCAGCCAGCTCCCTTTTGGCTACCTATTGAATTAAAACAGTTAGTATAGTTCTGGCCTGCTGAGAACGACATGGACTGATAACCGTAGGCATAATAGGCCTACTTGGAACCTTGCTCACCGCTAGCTGCTACACAGATTTAGGCCTTTAGGGTAGAATATTGTTAAAAAGGTAGGCCTCTGTAAGTAAGAACTTAAAAATAGGCCAAGCCTCTACTAGTCTAG